TATAGAGTCACACTTGATTATCTGTGCATTAATGAGTTGCATAAAAACACAAAGAATGGGAAATAGGGAAGAAGTGATCCATGGTACTTGTATAACACTGCATTTATACTTACTACAGAAAGCACAAGCTTGAGTCATATGCAAACCTGAGAAGAGCTTCCAGGTTAAAAAAAAACCATGGCTGCAAAGTAGACAGGACTGAAAAATAAACTTCCTAAAACTATCTATAGCAAAAACTATTTGTGTGCAGCAATAAATACAATAGAATGGACAAGGGAACAGGAAGAAAGGGGAAGAAAAAGTCAAAAAGGTAAGAAAAAAGGAAAACTTGAAAAATGCTATAGATAATATACATGATCATCAAAGATGACTCTGTAATATAATAGTACAAGCCTGAAATATACCATGCAAAACACACTAACTCCTACTTCCTTACATGCAAATAATTGCATCACACTCCTGCTGTATCAGACAGCAACAGATTGTCTTACCATAGTTCATCACAGAATCATAGAACAGCTTGGGTTCGAGGGGACATTAAAGATAATCCGCTTCCAAACTCCAGCCATAGCAAGGGTTGTGACTTACCAGCTCAAACTGCTCAGGGACCTATCCAGCCCCGTCTTGAACATCTTCAGGGATGGAGCATCCACAGCTTCTCTAGGCAGCCTGTGCCAGTGCCTCACCACCCTGAGTAAAAAATTTCTTCCTAACATCTAACCTAAATTTCCCCTCTTTCAGCTTAAAGCCACTCCCCCTTGTGCTATTACAGTCAGATCATGTAAAAAGTCAGTCCCCACCTGCTTATAAGCTCCCTTCAAGTACTGCAGCCCTTCTTTTTCAGGATAAACAAGCCCACCTCCCTCAACCTTTCCTTCTAGTTAACACGCTATAGTGAAAGAAAAGTGCAAAAGAACATTTCCTAAATCTTTATGGCAAGGCATATGACTATGCCAAATATGTGATCCCTTTTGTGCATGATGTGAGATACCTCTTATCTCAGAGCACAACTGTAACTGGTATGTTTCACACATTTACGAGCTCTGAGAGAGCAGAAATTAATGAAAGAAGAAAATTAAGAGAATGAAAGTATTTTAATTGGGCAAAATCAGTCACTCAAATGTTGTTTACACACAGACACCAACACAAGTAGCAGGCGCTGACCCCAAGCAGAGGCCATTTTTAACTCAGATTTTCTGTTTACTGTACAACGCACCAACTAATTCCCTGAAAAAATAGCAATTTAAAGCAATTAAATAGAAATAATAGAAATAGATGCCTAAAAGCTATGGACTGTCAGACAAACCCTGGCAGTTTATGCTGTCTGAAGAGATGTCTCCCAGCTGACTTGAGCCTTTAAAAAAACATCATCAGAGATGGGTACCCTTATGCACAGGTACCCCAGGCCATAGCTTGGCTGTGGTCTCACCAGTAGCTAAAGCTAACATTCTGGGCTAAAATTAAGGGTCTCTGAAACACTGGCATCAACTTGTTTGTATTATGTATTCCTCATATTCTTCAAAAGGTGTAGAAGTATTTCAGCACCATACTTCCCCTACATGCCCCAGGCCAATATTCGGGTGTTACACATTTAAATAAGACAATATTTTCAGCCCTAATTCTATTTTAAAGTGCTCTACTAAATTTTCTTCCAAATCCAGTTTTATAAATTTCTCATGTAACATAAGACTTGAAGATCTTACCAAGAAGTCAATCCTAAACACTGGCATCAACAGTAATTTTACCCTGTAAATCTTAAGACTTATAAATAGTTCTCAGAAATTTTGAACTTGATTTTCTTCCAAGTACCTAACAAAAGTAACCAAGCCTTTTTAAGACAGGCAAGAGCTCCTCCAGAGTTGAAAGCAAGGTTTAAACAACCTAAGAGAAGCACGTGCTACTGTGAAGAGTTTGAGAACTTCTGGGCAAGTCAGAAGAAAATCAGCACACATGGGAATGAGACTTCAAAGAGAAAGTTTAATTCTGTTAGCTACTGCTCCTTCTCAGTCAGTGAACTATAGCTGCAATGAGCAATTACATGTTAGTAGTAGCAAAAGCTGTTTCCCATGAGTTGAAACTATAAGAAAAAAAGACTTCCATCTTTCAGCTCAAATGAGATTTGAAAATAAAAAAAAGCTCCTACACAAAAATACCCACTCCCAAAGAAAAAACATAAAATTAATCTATGCTTGAGACAGAAGCATAACTTATTTATAGAAAATGAACTAAGAAGAGTATCCTGATATTCCCTGCAAACAGTCTGAGCCTTTACCCAGCTCTCTGAACTACAGCAGTAACCAAAGACCTATATCATTAAGCAAAGCCCAAACATACACCTAAATATTCTACAACTACCTATCCATAAATCTGCAACTACTGTGTTTAGAAAGAACCCATTTATGTAAGGATTAAATTTTTAATTTTTATTTTAAAAAGATGATTTGAAGGACAGTCCTGAGCAAACTACTGAGCCCATGCATGAGCAAGGGCATGGACCAGATGGTGTTAAGGCCCTTTTAAAACTCAGAGACGCTGTGCTTCTGTGAAGATACTGAAGAGCATTACAGAGGTGCAAAAGTATCTTGGATTTTATTTCCACTCTATACACATGAGGAAAAGGATCTGCTTTTCAAAAGACAGACCACACAGATGAAGATGTGTTCAAATCAGACCTGTGGTGTACTACGGTATGACTGTGGAAGAAAGGCTTGCCATTCAGAGGGAACTCAGCAGGCTTGAAAGATGGGCCCAGGTACCTAATGAGACTCAACATAGCAAAGTACAAGGTTTTGCACTTGGGCCAGAGGAATCCCAGGCACCCATACAGACTGGAAGGAGCAGTCCATGAGAGCAGCCCTGCAGAGAAGGACCTGGGGGTCTTGATAGATGAAAAGCTTAACATGAGCCAGCAGTGTGCTCTTGCAGCTCAGAAAGCAAATGGTATCCTGCGTTCCATCAGAAGAGGTATGGCCAGTAAGGACAGGCAGGTGACTGTCCCCTTTACTCTGCTCTTGTGAGGCCCCATCTGGAGAACTGTGTCCAGGTCTGGAGCTCCCAGTACAAGAAAGACAGAGAGCTGTTGGAGAGGGTCCAGAGGAGAGCCACAAAAATGATTAGGGGACTGGAGCACCTCCCCTATGAAGACAGGCTGAGGGAGCTGGGCTTGTTCAGCCTGGAGGAAAGAAGGCTGTGGGGTAACCTCATTGCAGCCTTTTAGTACCTAAAGGGAGCCTACAAACAGGAGGGGAATCAACTCTTTGAAAGGGTAGATAACTGCAGGATGAGGGGAAATGGTTTTAAGTTGAGGCAGGGAAGATTTAGGTAGGATGTCAGGGGGAAGTTCTTAACAGAAAAGTGGTGAGGTGCTGGAACAGGCTGCCCAGAGAGGCAGCCCCATCCCTACACGTGTTCGAGGCCAAATTGGATGGGGGCCTGAGCAGCGTGGTCTAGTATGAAATGTGGAGGTTGGAGGCCCTGCATGTGGCAGGGGGGTTAAAGATTCATGATCCTTGAGGTCCCTTCCAACCCTGGCCATTCTGCAATTCTTTGACTGTTTCTAAGTCAATGCAGCTGCCATTTATAAAGATCATCTACAATGTGAAAAATTATTTTCCTGACATGGGAAACATAAAAATCAATCTTCTCTTCCCAACGCCAACACTCACAGACCACTCCTGTACCTCAGCATGACCTATAAAACTCAACTTTATCGTGAGTGAAGGAAATAACACAGACAACTACAAGGGATGTTCCAAAAGTAATGCCTACTATTTTATTATGCAGACCCATTACATCAGTGGCAGGTGATTGTGGTATGACAGTAAAAGCTGAGCCTTTCCACCAATATTCCACCATACTTTGTTGTTGTGCAACAGATGGCAGCACAGGGGCAGTCTAGCAAAATGGCATCTGACATGGAAGTGCCTACCAAACAAAAGAACATCAATGAATTCCTCCATGCAGGAAAAAAAAAACATTACCTACTGACATTCACTGATGTTTGTTGAACATTTACAGAGACCAACCAGAGGACGTAAGCACAGTGAAGTGGTGGGAGGAACATAATAGAAGCAGCAACAGCTGGTGCATATTTTTATAAATGCAACACAGAATCATAGAATCACTGAAGTTGAAAAAGATCTCTAAGATCATCTAGTCTAACTGTCCACTTATCACCAATACTGCCCATTTAACCATGTTCCTCAGCACAACATCTACATGTTTCAGCTCTTGTTCATCACTGGCAAAAACACATAGCTAATGGTAATGACAATGCTGAAAAACAGCACTTTGTAGCTGACAATTCGCTCTACCAAATAGTGCTATTGTGCTCTTTGTTGTCACTTCAATTGAAATAATAAGGAGGCATTACTTTTGAAGTGACTTACATAACACAAAAATCTTTACATGAATTACAAAATGCCATTTATTAAGATATGAGTTTTACCTTCCATGTTTCCAAGCATTAGAAAAAAACAGTGAACAGAACAACTTGTTAATCACCTTCAGAACTTTAATATATCACATGTCAAGTTCTTTCAGGACGTTACACTTAACAACAATCTTACAAGAAGGGCATGGATTCAAGCTGCACAAAAAGCTTTTAACGAGAAAAGCAAATAAAAATCAATAACAACAAAAGACTAGAGATTACTGATGATTACCCATTGCTTCTGACTGTGCATTTTCTCCTGTTTACCGCAGATAAGTTTACTCAAAAAGCTGGAGCGGCAACTTCGTCTTCCAGAGTTCCAGAAGCGCCCTGCGCCAACCGGCCCGGCAGCAGGCTGTGGGGCAAAGCCGGCGGCCCCACGGAGCGGGGTTCGGACCCCGGCGGGGCACCGCGCTACTCCCGCAACAGGAGTACAGGGCTGAGGGCTGAGGCGAAGGAAAGCCGGCACACGCGGGACAGACAATTACTAACGATCACTATCAATACCAGCACTCTCACTCGCGCTCGCCCTCCCGACAGCTCGACTGCTCAACGACCGCAGCTTTACCTAACACGCTCCCCGCCGAGCCCACGCCTCACTCCAGCTCAGCTGCGGCGCACATGGATGACGTCATTGACATCACCCCGCCCAAATGCGCGGCGCGATGGTAATCGCCCCGCCCCCTCGCCTTGGCCCCGCCCACACACCCTCAAGGAGACCTGGGGAGGCGTGGTGTTAGTTGTAGGGAGTGGTTTCTCTTATGCCCGAGGACCCAGGGTTCTGCTGACAGGTTTAGCCAGCTGCTCCTGCACACTGAGGCTCATTAGCAGAGGAGTGGCTGCAGCGTGGTGTTCAGCCTCTGTAGCCACACGACGGTGTCTCCATCCTGTTCTGAAACCAAGTAGTCAAACAGAAGGATTCCCAGAATTCTGCGTTTCGCAAGCCATTAAAAATAAAGAACCTATGTTTGTCTTTAGAAGTTCATTTGTCTTTGGAATTACAATCCTTTGCTTTAATTCTAAATGCCTAAAAAGCTCCGATGCATCAATATTTTTGCACTCACATGATGCAGTATAGCACTGTTAAAATGCTACACCATTTGCCACACCACCAAATGTTGGGTTCCAAACCGTGTCTGGATATAGTTAGTGAATGTCTCTACATCTTTTAGGTGTCCCTGTGCTTTCTTCATTTCAATCCTCTTAAAACCCGATCAGCCTTCACATTTTGTCAACATCACTTAGAAGGTAATACCACCTCTTTCATGAAAGCTCCTAAGGTCTAATTCTCTACTGATACGGTTTACATAGCTTCATTTTTCTCAACAGAGATGCGCCAAAAATGTGTCCCTCTGTGTGATATTTCAGAAGCTTTGCTTGTCACAGACACTCCGAGAGCAACTTCCTGCAATGCATGATACAAATAAATAACACGCTTGTTATCAGCAGACCAGACTTCATCATAGAAATTTAAGGTTGAATTTGCTTCTCTCAAGAATAAGCAATAAAGAAAAAGAATAGAAATTTCCAGACAGCTGATGATAGATTGCAGCCTCGGAATTGCTTGGTTACTTGTACTGCTTTTTGCAATCATGCTAGGATAACAGGATGGAAAAGCGTGCTTTTTTGCACATTGAGACAGAGCACTATCATTACTGTTCAAGGTAGCAAAAATCCCATTGGTGTCAGCAATTTACTTATTTTCACATAACAGATTTATCTGGATACTTCATTCTGTCGCTTAGTTTGGCAGTGAATATTTAAGTTCCTGAAGCAATTCGTCATTGATTAACTATTGTCACAGCTATCTTGCTTCTGTCTCAGAGCACACTGGGTGCTGGAGTTGTTAGCTGGCTGCTGAAGAAGCCAAGGATGCTTAAAATAGGCAAATTATTTTGTCACTTCTGTCTGCAAAAGGAATAATCCCTAAAAATATCCAACAGTGCCAGCACTGAATCAACTGCAGTCTAGGAGAGGTAGGCAGCCATCAGCTGTTAAAATCATGACCACGGAAGGTATTAGAAATACTTAGTTTATATTTGCAGTGCTTAATTTTGTGACTCTTTCTGCTTTGGGAACTACTTGGAGCTATCCCATGGGCTAGGGTGTTAGAAGGTAAGGGGACTTGTGAGAGCTGCTCAGCATTTAAACAGCACTTCTTCCAAGCTCAGGATTGGTGTGGCCATATGAATAAGAAATCAGGGAAGGGTGGCAGGAGATCTGTGTGGATGAGCAAGGAGCTTACGCATAAACTCAAAGAAAAGAAGAAGGTCCATGAAATGTGGAAAAAGGATCTGAACACTTGGGAAGAATATGAGGAGGTTGTCACGGTCTGCAAAGATGCAATGAAGAAGGCTAAAGTGCACCTGGAATGAATCTGGCAAAGGAGATAAAGGATAATAAGAAAGTTTTATTTAAGTATGCCAATAGTAAAAGGTAGACTAGAGAAAATGTGAGTCCCCTACTAAATGAGGGGGGTTTTCTTGTAATGGGGGATGCTGAGAAGGCAGAGAGTCCTTGTCAGAACACCAGGTTGAATTCTCTGCTTCGTTTCTAGGGATGCAGGCAATGTAGATTTCTTGCTAAACTGAGAAATTTGCAAACAGATTTCACTCTCCAAAAGCAGGTGTGATTATTCTTGAATTATAGTGAAAGAAATGTAAACAGCATCTTTTGTGCAGATGTTACCTTGGACAGGGTACAATACTCGGGAAAACTGAGAAGAAAGTATTTTGAGAATCCTAAGCAAAAGGATTTGGTTTAGTTTTAGGTATATCTATTTGGAGCAATGCAGCACTTAAAATACATTGATTTCAGGGTTGAAACTTAAGTGGATTCAGTGACTGTTGCTAGCAGCTCGGCACTTCTAAGAATTAGCTATTGATACAATTTCTAAATTTGAGCATTATTCTATGGCCTTACTCTCACACCTCAAATCAGTATTGTGATCTTGCTTTCAGGAAACAAGAAAACTGTTTGCTGAAAGTGTGGGTCTCATTGTGCTTGTTAGAGAGATCAGCTCATATAGAACCTTTCTAGCTAGTATTCAAAAGCGAAGTTTAATGGAGTGAATCATCAGCAAAGGGGTGTGGGGGGTGGGAAGCCTATTCACTCTCTAATCTCCAAAAGCAATGTAAACAAATAATGTAAGTAAACATATGCATAATTTAATATTTTCCGTCAGGGCTGTGAGCGTTAATAGTATCAAGTGGCTTATCACTAGCAAGTTGAAAGAGAAGGTTCAGGAGAACATGGGATATCACAGGGTAGGAATAAATGTAAGCACACAAGAATTCAAAAAGATACTATAATTTGACTGGCCAAAAAGCTTCTGAAACATAGCCGTGGGAAAGAGAGTGAGTTGCCAGTGATGTTTTAATTTCTCCATCTTCCCACGTGTCAGAAAGAAATACAGTTGCAGGCCTGAAGTCTGTGGGTTGCCCTACCAAAATGAGTGTTACTCATTATCTAGAGACCTCTCAGTGTGCATCCTACAGATTTTAAACAAGAAGATCAAGAAAATTGGCACCTTGAGAAGCATTGGCACTTGGGGCCAGCTGGACACAAAGGCTGCCCAAGATGTGACTGTCTGTCTTTCCCACTAAAGGCCTTCACCCACCTCTGCCAACTGCATCTGTCCCATTGCCTAGAAGCCTCAGGAGCAAACTGACATCTTTGGCTGCAGATGGGTTAACATTTCCAGACAACACCAAAAAGTATATAGGGTTCATCTGTGAAATTTAGCTCAAATCTCTCCATCATTTTACTCAAAATTGACAAGAATCTTTGTGCTGGAATGGTGAGGACACAGGTGGGAGAGCCTTAGAGAGCAACTTACATAAAGGCCCATATTTCTTTTTGGCCATGAAGCACTATCTCAATATTTGGGTGACATACACTCCTGTCTGAGAAGGATGAATGTAGTAATGACTGAAACTGAATGTAACGTAATTTGGCATGAAACTGTAACAAACCCATCTACCCTGTTCTTAACAGCCCTTCAGCTAATAAATCTGGGAACCAAGAAATCATAACTGGAAGAGCTGCTGGACTGAGAATATCATAGAAAATAGTTCAATTTCAAAATTAAGGTGATTGCATTCAGAATTAATTAGAAAACTTACCAGTTTCCTTCAGCTCATTCACTAAATTTTCCACAGTTAAGAGCAGAGCCATGAACTCTTCATGCTACTTGCTCTCACATATTTTGAAAGGAAATAAAATAGATGTAGTAGAGATAGAATTTCTGTTTTTAAATACTTTTGAATTGTTGAGATATCAAGCTGATGGGTGACATAAAAAGCATTGTGCCAGCATTAAAGATTAAACTGTGTATATAGTTTTAATAAAATAAAGCTGCTCACCTTCTGATTTTAAAGGGGCATTTTGGACCTTTTGGAAAGGATTTGTGAAAATCCTTTCATTGGCTCTTAGCACTTGGAGGACGGTGTTTGGGGAAGCTGACAGTGTGCGTGCTGGGTCTCCCATACACTGCATGTGTACAAGCCTATCAGACCCTCACATCAGCTCCAGTGTGGGGTAAAATTTAAAAAAAAAAAAAAAAAAAAAGTCTACTTTAGAAAGAAAAATTCCTCATTGCTTTCATAGGACTTGAGAGTAAGATTTGTGTCTGGTATATAGACTTGAGAGCTTGTTAATTAGCATTTAATCTGAATCTTTTGTCTGACACAAGTTGAAGAATTTCAAATCCAAAAGTTATACTAAGTGACAGTACAATAGGAAAGCAAATTCTTGAAAAGTTTTCAGATATTGTGTTAAGCACTGTGTTCATGAGACCAAAAAGCTTTTTTTTAAATACATATTGCAGTTTGAGAAGAGGACATATTGCTGAACACATGCATAGTATGCCTTGAATGAACTGCTTTCATATCTTATTGCTAAGTGCTGTAAATGTAGAAAGATAATTTTCCCTGAATTATCCATAAATTATAAATTTCATTCTCATGATTAGACTTTGATCAATTATACACTCCTGTAGTCAGCCATGGTGAAGATGCGCCTTAAGTACTGTGTTCAGTTTGGGGCTCCTCACATCAAGAAAGACACTGAGGCTCTGGAGCATATTCAGAGAATGGCAGTGGAGCTGGTGAGGGGTCTGGAGCACAAGCCTAATGAAGAGTGGCTGTGGGAGCTGGGATTGTTCAGTCTGGAGAAGAGGAGGCTTATGGCAGACCTTATTGCTCTCCATAACTACCTGAAGGGAGTTTGTGGTGAGGTGAGCTTCTTCTAGTATTTCCAGGCATTACTGGTCTAGAACTGGTGTTAGGTAGGAGTGGGAATAAGATTTGTTATAAGGGAAGCTGACAAACTAGGTCAAGAAGCAGCTGCTTGGATAAATGGCCGAATTTATGTTTTAAACTAAATTTGGGGCCCAAAGGGTATGATTAACTGCAATTGGTGCTGCAGGGGCCTGCATGCTGATCTGATTGGTGATAATAGGGCCCAGATGGCAATCTTTTATACTTCGGGATAAAGGGATCACTTAATACCACAGAAATGTCAGATTTGGGTTATGAGTCAAACAGCTACAATGTGGTTGAGGCAATGCAGAGGTTATTGGCTAGATGAAAACTTGATGCTTGAGAACATGAAAACC